AAACTTCTGTTGTTGCAACATCCAGTTGCAGTCACTGCGAAACGACCAGTAGCCAAAACTGCGGAAACAACTAGATAACGTATCATATGTTTAAAAACTATATATAGGAACTTTGGAAACCACCGTAGCCCTAAAGTTTGTTCTGGGACTGAGCTTCAGTGGGTATTTAAGGAGATGCTCAGATATGTTCAGAATAGTAGACCATTAGGTCACCTCTGGGACGCTTATACTCTTATGAGTAAAGGTTCAGCTGTTTAAAGCACTCTTTATAAGGCTTGAAGTTGAGTCCCCAAAATGATTTCGTGGCTCGCCGTTGGATACGTTCCGATAAAGACCTAGCCTTTCGGATTGAGGGAGAAAACAACATGTTTCCATACTCTAAATGGGGTCGAATAAAGCTGTTGAAGATAAAGTGAAAAATTCTATCGTCAAACTGGCCACAAAATGCACTTCAACGTTCTCAGTGCGGGATTTGCTCAAAGGCATTTTTTCCGTAGTTAGCGTAAGACTTCAGATCGTAGGGTATCAACATCCACAGATCTTTTTCGAACGACGATACCGCTAGAGGAGAGTTCCCCAAGCTATGTGCGTTATAAAGAACATGTCTCGGATGGAATAGTTTACACTATGAAGTGTTAAAAATAAGTCCGTTGTTATCCGCCCAACTTTTCAGATCCTCGTGAAGTTCCAGCTTGTCATGTTGGTTGCAAACTTCTCTCCAGAAATTCATATTACCAGCGAAAATTAATAAACTATACGGTACTTGCTGAGGAAAGCCATTCACATGAATTGAGGAGGGGAGAGGTTCTAGTACTGAACCCTAAAGGGAACCGCTAGGACGTGATGTAGCCTGAGAAAAAGTGAAATCTACAATGATCCTAAAGTGTCGACTATTCTAATTTGAAGTCAGCCAATCAATCAGTGATGGCCAGTTACACGTTCGTTTGAGCTTATTGAAAAGACATTTGTAGTTGACCCTATAAAAACTTCTGGGAAGTCAAGGTGTACGACATCAGCCTTCCTCGTTTGCGGCCAAGTACGGTTGTTCATCTGTCCACTACAGTCAGTGGGTTGACTGCTGGAGTGACCCTTCCTGGAACCATGCTGTTGAGGTGAAAAGAAGTTTGAGGATACTGAGTAGTCACTCAGACCACCGCATATCGGGGACTCCATAATGTTTGTGGGTATTGAAAGAATCGCTACTGTCCGGTAGCAATGAGCATCCACATCGAGTTAAGGGTGGGCTACCCAGTCCATGCGTTGTAGACTGACACACAAAGCTGACAAGTTCAACTAACTGTCATTCTAAAGCACGTTGTTGGCAGCACATTTTAGCCTAATTTTCTTGGTAAAGATGAAGGCTATTTAATCATGACCACTTTTACCCAGTGGAGCTCGGAATGAGAGGTTTGCAAATATGCAGCCTAAGTGTGACGGAGTCTATCCATTTCTGCAGCGAACTGCTGACTCCACATTTTTGAATAATCTCAGATCTTTAGTAAGGTTGGAGGACCGAGCTTCAGTAAGGTTGTCATTGCCAATGTACGTGTGGCCACATATGTTAATTTTAAGAAGATTGAAGTCCCCTAAAAATTGGATATGAGTGTATTGGAGACGGGTTGAACGGGATAGTCCCTTCAGCACACGTTTGTATTACACGGTGTTAGCAGTGGGTTTCCTGCAAATGACTCCAACCAGACTTCTCGAGGTGTTCGACAAACGCACTGAGCGTTACGCAGATTCATCGTGACTGATAAATTCTTAAGGTACACTTGACATTGGCACTGATTGCTTTTTGTTTGAAACGCGTGCGCCTCTCCGTCTAGTTTTAATGAATGAGCTTGTGTGGATGGATTTATAACCTACCCACACAGGGTCTTCCGAGTTGGTAGCCTCTGTCTATTCTTCGTACTTTCCATGCTCTGAACAGTCTACAATTGGGATAATCAGTTCCAGTATGTTTTCCTGTTTGGTCCCTGCATCGTATGGTCTGTCCGGATGAACGTAGAGTCCAGTTGGAAGCCGACGTCTGTTGACAAAGAATACTTCGAGAGTGGCAGCAACCATTTGGAAGGTTGGAAATGTCACGTTCGTTACCCGGGACCTAGAGCCCCCGTTATTCGTGGTAAGTTGCACTACTCGTTGAATCAATACATTCTTGCACTTGAAGGACTGTCTGATGAAATTCCACTCTGGAATATTGTAGTCTACATATTCAGGATCCGTGTTTCCTGAGACATCTTGCACAATGGTGTTTTTCTCGAGATTCACTAAGGGATTTTCTAATGAGATTGAGCTCAGAACACGGTATATTATATAGTATTCTTACGTCCTCCTGTGAATTCAGCAAGCGACTGGTCAGCAGAACATCGATTACATCAGCAGTGTTGGTGAGGGATATAAGAAGGAGTTTTGAATGATTTTGGTGTTTGAAATCCTTCCCAGGGGTAAGCTGTGTAACCACCAGTGGCTTATTTTGGGTGATATACTCTTGTTCCGAAAGGGAATTTTCTCATAGCCCGTAAATATTTAAGTACTGTATTTTTTTCATGTACTACGCTCACATGAAATTTTCTGAATGACCAGATTGTTCGGTTCTCAGCCAACAAAACCACATCTCATGTTTGTTAGGGTTATATTTATTCCTTAAAAAAATAAAAGATCTCAGTTTTTCGGAAAATTATTTAATTTGTGTTTTTAGGTTTTGGTCCTACTGCCTTTTGTCGAACAGCTCTTTGAGCTGTATGGCCTGGTGATGTTGTTTGTCTACATATTCAATATAGTTTATAATCGTAATGTTGATGATCGGGGCCACACCCTTTCGAAACATTGTGTTTTTTTAATTATCTGTGGGAAAGGACGGGTGTTTGCGAGAAAGCTAGAAACTATACAGAATTTAATAAAATAGCGATTTCTTCTTGTTTATTAAAGTCCTGGAGTAAAACGAGTAACAGAAGACCAAGATATGGTACGATCATGAAGTATATTATATACTTGACAGTAGGATACGAGTTTGTGTGAAGTATACAGATAAACTATTAAGTGGGCAAAATAAAATGTTCTTAACGTTTCATGGAAGATTCAAACAGTAACATCGTGCAATATTTACTATGTTGAGCAATGCGTGGAATAGTGCTACTATACTACATAGTTTTTTTTATTTTAAGGCCTTGTTTCTTATCATATCTGTTTATCTTTCTTGAAACTCACTAGTCGAATTCCGTCTGATAAATGCTGGTCCTAGCAACCTTTTATGACCTAAAACATACTCACTGATAAATACTCAAGAAATGCTTTCTTGGAATAAAATGCCATATTCACTAATCTTAATGCGGCTGAGTGATAAGTCTAATAGAGAAGATATAAAAGGATAGAGACCATACTTTAATATTGTTATTAATACTCACAAACTTGATCATACACAAGTGTAGAGCCAGCGAAATGTCACTAAGCCCTAGCCAAATCATCCGGCAGTTGGGTCATTGAATATCGAGCAAGTCACCAGTGTAGATCGCCATCGTAGATGTCGAAATGATTGTAGTCCTACTCGAGTTAGACGTGAATGATGTGACAAACTAGCTAATGCCCAAGTCACACCTCATGGTCAGCACCCTACGTGGACTACCCCATCGACGTATCAAGGTACCATAGATGCTTTGAAGACTGTACAACACAGAGGATGTTATTACAGAAATATATTAGTTAAAGTAGATACTATCGAAAGTAAGATCACTGCCGCATGGGTCAGTCCATGGTATACGTTTAACTGACGCGCGTTAGTTGTCCCTGACCTTGACGAGGATAGATAATTTGCTCGATATTCAATGACTCAACTGCCGGATGATTTGGCTAGGGCTTAGTGACATTTTGCTGGCCCAACACAAGTATTGTGAAAAAATCATTTTGGTGTTCATCACAATCGCAACTATGCACGAGAGTTTTATTAGTGTTTACACAATATTTACCATACTTAAACAGGTTCTCTATTTTTTAGAAAAATATTAAGCTGACGTTAAAAACTATGTGTAAATAATTTAATATGTTAATAAAAGAGTAAACGGTGTTATGTGCATTACAAATAGAACTTGCAAAAAAATTATCGTATTAAGATTTTTTGTTAGAAGTGGTAGTTTAATATTACGCAATGTCATCAGAGCAGCCACAGTATTAGTATATAGCGGGTAAGGGTAATCTACGGTGGGTAGTAACCACGAGGTGTGACCTCATTGCAAACTTAGAGGTCCCACTATTCTCCGTCCGACTCCACTAGGCCCCGACCATCAGTATAAGACGTTTAAACTGGTAACTTATAGAATGCCAATTCGAGATGCTTATTAGGGTAGCTGACAATAGTTCAGTTCGCTCATTTATTAAATATCTCCCTGTGGCGTTTCTGAGCAATAATCTAGACGAATAGTCCCAGTCAGTGGAAGGCGGTCTATAAAGGGTGTTACAGACTTAATACACTCTTCAGTCGAAGGTCAATGGAGCAAAAAGCGGAATTACGTAGACAGTGTTTTTAATTTAAACCACAAAAGTCAAGGATGTATCAAGTAATTACGAGTATAAGTTAGTCTAAACTAGTATGAATAAAGGAGACTTCGGGCGCGAATATAATCACATATATGATGTCTTACAAAAGGTGAATATATGATATTTATTTTGGCCAGAAAAATGATTAAATCGACATGTTATTAGACACCTCTCTTCATTAACGGACTAATTGACATCAGCTCCCGAAAGCATCCAATAACTAGAAAAATAAATTTCGATTGAGTTAATAACTGTTTGCTAGTGTGAATGGTACATTTTTGTTCACAAAGAGCCTTTGTTAAATCGCTCCGATTACTAAAGAATGATTTTATCAAGTTGCGTAGATTTTCATTCTGCCTTTTACGAATAAAATGAGAAAAACAATGTTGTTCTATTTTTTTGATATAATTCCTTATATGGGAAAAAGGTTTTTCGAAATAGGTTGCAATACTCATTATTCCATCGATATGTATTGTTGCGCGTATTATGGTATTAGCGCTGCACCCAATAAATTAATGTCGGCGCGACTTTACCTCGCTTAGGATTTCTAGTTCATTTCCTCAACCTTCTAATGGCTCTTTCAGGGTCGAAGGAGTTCATCGATATGCTGCTAGCTCGGGAATTTACAAGGTACTTAGTTTCCCATCTTAATATGTAGTAATAGTGCTGATGATCAGGTACTTATTATGAATGGTTGTGATGTTAGTGGACATAGTTTTAAAGAGAATGGTTTCGCAAAACCCGTTTTGGTACGATCAAAAGACGGTTTAAGAATTAAGGTCCCGCTAGACTCATTCTCTCATACAGATTTAACCAGGTTTATAGGTACAGGAAGTCCATAAAAGTTATCGGTTTTAGATCCTAGTATCCAGGTTGATGTCATCGATGTTCGTCAGCAAGTCGAGATACAAATGACGCTCCAAGAACTGGTTGACCACTTTTCCTCACCTCGTCGACAGGTATTGTTAAACATGCTGAGTCTGGAGTTTTCAAGAACCAGGTAACATATGTCGTCTTTACATTAAAAGTAGCCTGGCAAAGTTTGTACATCCTCCGCATGTCGTTTCGGAACTTAGTCTTGTCACAACCTGCTGGCCGGAAGATGACCCTAACGACCTTAAAGATGTCGAATTTATCGGCGAGACTGCACCAACTGTCCAGAAATACTGTCTTTTAAGTATGAAAGGCAGTTATACTGACTTCCATATAGATTTCGGTGGATCATCTGTCTGGTACCATGTTATGTGGGTAGGTTTTTCTATTCAGAGTGAGGTCTATGAGCATAGGGTGAAAAAGTGTTTTATTTGATGCCGCCTACACCCGAATTCGTTTCTGCTTATTGGCGATGGTGTATGAGCAGCGATCATAGGGCGACATTCTTCCCAGACTTTGTTGCTAGTCTTCGGGAGAAAGGTAAGCATTCGTCTGTGCATTGTGGAACATAGCTCCGAATTACTTTTCTAGAATCGACTAGTAACGTAAATAGACCCACAGTTTACTGCCTTCATATTTTACCCGGCCAAACAATCTTCTTGCCATCTGGTTGGATCCACGCTGTTTACACGCCTTCTGACTGTCTAGTTTTTGGAGGAAATTTCCTGAGTGGATTGCATGTATCTATGCAGCTCAGGTAGGTTACTGAAATATATTTAAATGATCTTATTACTTGCTTCATATTTTAACTGTGATTAATTATTGTTTCATAAAAGTTCAGATGGTTATATTTTAGGACGTTAACTATTCACTTCGGTTTTAAAATAATAAAATGGGGTTTAGTGACGTAGTTCTGAACTTGTTATTGGTCAGCATTGATTATTGTACGGTCCCAATGCTGGATATCCATGCCGATATATTGTCTGGGATTCTGCGCAATAATTATGATTATACGTGCTAGACAATTGTCCCACCTCATATGGCACTGCCTAATGTATGGTTCTGTTAGGATTTTATTATAAAAGATAACGAGTTTATAAAGTCAATTAGTTAACATTTTCTGGGGATTTATAAACTTCGTGAGTTATGGAAAATTTTGACTTGTTTTTACACGCTATTCATGAAACAAGTACACATTTGACTACTGTGATCTAAATCACAGTGTCAGCAAAGTATTTCGCAACTCCCCGTATCAATGCAGTGTAGCCGAGGTCAGGTCTCAATAAAAATTCAGAATCATTTTTGTTTTTTGACAGAGACTAACTCTATTTAAGTCCAAGATAAATGTAATCCCTGTGTTCGATTTTCCTTTAAATGATTGGTTTACTAATCTTTGAAATATATCACAGCTACCCAATGTCTCAACTTTCCATATATGTGGATATACAGAGTTAGGTTTAACAAGAACAACACTATTTTGTCTTGCCGATTTAGTAAGGTAAGGTAAGGTTAGTTTTCAGTTTATCCAACTTCATAGCAATATCCTAGTTTCTTGTATGCGATGGATATTAACCAGCCATAGTGAAAAACCGTTTTGTCCTGTGGCTAGATTTTATACTGTTCAAAAACTGTTAATGACAAGAGGTGAGTAACAGCAATCATCCCGACTTTTCGACGAATTACTTAATCATTTTTCTGGTCTTCCCAACTCGTGGTCACATCATATTATGTCTTGATTCTTAGTAAGTTTGGTCGATTTTAGCAGGGCTTGTTCGTCATATTTGAGTTCCAACTACTTTGTAAGAGATCTGAACGAAATGTTAATCAAAGCATTTTTTCAAGCGCTTATTGAATTGTCTAGACAAATATCATACTAAAAACCGTTGCGTGATATTCATCTTTGAGATGAACACCTAGTCATTTTGTTGCTTCACTGAAAACATAAGTCTGTATTTACGGGTTGAGATTTTATGTGGTACATTTAGTTGTAGACAGTCACTGACAGCCGATGACATAGTCTTATTTGGTGATGACGCTGACAAAATACAATCTTCTGACCACTCTGAGGAACAATGCAAGCATGATGGGGATGCGATTCTCTCCCTCGAAATGCAAAATGTTGCTTCAGGATTGGGTGGCATCGACACCCGAACTAATGATAGGGAGTGAAGTAGTTGAGCGTGTCGATCTCTTCACTTAACTTGGAAGTCTCATCAGCCCTTGTGGTTTTGTGTGTGACGAAATCTCAGCACAGATATAGAGGGCTCAACTAGCTTGCGTCATTTATGACGTAGGTGAGATATCCGTCTACCAACCAAAGGATGGGTTTACTGCACAGCAGTTCGTTCCGTTCTACTTTATGGCAGTGAAACATGGCCATTAAGAGTAGAGGATATTCGTAGGTTACCAGTATTCAATCACAGATGTCTTCGAAGCATTGATCGTATATCCTGGGACCACCGAGTAAGTAATTCAGTTGTTAGGAAACGGGTACTAGGTAATGATGGCAAAGCAATTGATGAGGCAGTGAAACTTCATCAGTTGGGATGGCTGGGACACGTGTTACGTATGCCTAACCATCGACTACCTCGACGTGCCATGTTTCATGGTGTAGAAGTGGGATGGAAGAAAACTAGAGGCGGCCAAACCAAAACATGGCACAAATCCATGAAGTTGCTGACAAGTGGACTGAGCCATGTTGGTAGGTGTAGACTACCTGGTTGCGATCCGCGAGACGATAGCAACCGATAGTTAGAGACCTTGAATGACATGGCTCAAGATCGTTTGCAATGGCGCAGATGCATCCACTCTTTGTGTTCTCCCAAATTCTAATCTTCTGAATTCTTCATGTCCCTTTCTTTTTCCTCTTCCCAAATTTATTTCACTGGACTATACTCTTTGAATGACATCTTCAAACTCTAATCTTTCCGATTACTGCTTATACTCTTACTACCTTTACCACTACGGGATTTGAATTGACAATTGTATTTCTGTGCTAATGTGGTATGGCAACTCGAACTGATGTACGTACAAACGAAGTTCTACGTTTTTGCCTGACTTTAGACAGCCACTGTATTCTGCGGGTTAAGCCATGGAAATTGTCTTACCTCCATGACGTATAGATTGTGGTAACACAATTAATTTACAACCAACTATGCTAGAGTTTGTTTAGCAGAGCTTACTGTTTCATTTGATTTAAGTTGTAAGCATTAAAAGTCAAACAGCTTTTGAAGCACTGTTGTAACGAGTCATGAAAACTAGTTAGAAATGAAAATTATTGAAACTGGGAAATGTTGGTTGAAACGAACAGTTATTGAGAATTGGAAAGAAATAGTCTGAAGGACGTAGATAGATTACGAGTGGCCCATTATATACACCTGGTTCTAATATCATTTGGTTACTAAATAACCTTTTATTCTAATTCTTTAGCTTAGTTTGTGTTGTTATTACTGTAGAATTTATCGCATGGAACAAAAATGTAAAACTCCAATGAAATTTCTGTTCCCTAATTTTGAGAAGGTTCACTGGTTTTATAGCCAATGTCTCCTGGACAGACTAACTAGTAAGTATCTCAGTCAATATATTTCAGCGATATAGTTTATTCGATTATTGTGCCACATATTTCATACTCTCTAACAACACGAAATTTTTAAAATTTTCACTATTATTGTAGACAACTTAACTGATGGCGAAAATCCCGTTATTTTCGACGTAGAGGCGGCTGAATGCTTGGCTAAAGTTCTTCCTTTGTGGTATTCTAAAAGACATATGGTAACTGAATGTTTTATAACAAACTACATTCCTCATTTTAGATGATGTTACTGCTCTTTTTTATTTATTCTCCATAATTTTTTATTGTTAAATATCACCGAATGATCATCATGAAAGGTTTGAAATCTTAATTATAATAGAAAGTCTAAGTTTTTCACCACTTATAAAACTCAATGTATAGTTGTGTAATGCGGTGTAATTTCTAACCTGTGTTCCCACAATCAATGTAGGATTTCATTCAGAAGTTAATTGGGTACTTGGAAAATCCAATTAGGTCTTCAAAATTGATAATGGAAGAATATAACCGCACAGTTTTTGAACGATGTCAACAACTCCGAAAGCGGACCATTTATGGGACAGAAGTAGTGCGTCGCACTTGTGGTTCAGGTGTTCAGATTCGAATTTTTATATTATTGGGTCATATTTATACCAATAATGTCTTATGATGTAAATTCTATTGGAAACAACTTTCCACCGTATATCGTTGAGTCTGTTTATATTTGCTGAATGCCTCATTCCAAGTTATTAATCTCAAGTATTTCTTCAATCATCTGGCTTCACCATTCATAAGTTTTGTATTACTTAGTAGTGTCTAATAAATTACGGAGTTTACGTCTATTTATATACATAAGTGCTCAGCTGCACGTACCTGCGCTTTACGGAATCTCATCTAAGATCTCTCGTTTCTAGTTTACACTGCTAGTTGTTAGTACATAATGGAGAAATTTTGTCAAGGAAAATATATAAACATCTGTGCAGCTAGTTGATTTGCTAATGTTCTAATCAACGCATATCAACCAATAGTAGGAAATTTGTTGTGACTTTATGGCCTGTTGGTTATCACGTAATCTGTTCGCCAATAAAAATACGACTTATTTGCTCGTGTACTGTACTAAACTAATGACGTCCGACTGGTATGATCAGCCTGGCGTCCTATTGGCCCGTTGCCCGTCCAGCTGAGTCCAGAATGCTAATAACAGCCTCCACTATGCGAATCACTTATTTCACACATACTAGGTTTACATATCAACCAAATAGACCGCAACGCATCATAAAATATAAAATAACTCTCGTACAAAATATAGCCAAAGGTGGCTGTGAGCGTGGGAGACAGTAATTAATAAACTGAGTATAACATAAGACCAGTAAATTGTACGATAATAATCTATAGGTCAAAATGAAGCTTATAATAACGGGAATATAGATACATACAATCTAGTTACTGAATAGTTATACCATAAGAATATATAAATAATATTAGTCCATTAATAGGTCTCAGAAGTTACTCGTAATTTAATCCTCACTAGGATATAACAAAATTCTTAGGTATTATATTCTACCCTCGTGTCTTCTCTAACTTCTTGGAGATATAATCAGGGTTTCCTAATACATAGTTATCTGAAATCTTTTAAACTTAATTTATTTTAGTTATGTGACAATTTTCCCTTCCGTTGAAAGAGTCATCCCTTAAGAGGTCTAAACAACTTTCCATTTAAATGGTAGTAAGTGTCGAATTTTGATACGGCTTTTGAAATCACGTTGTCTCACCCGAGAAACTGTGGTCTTCACAAATAAATATTTATTGAAACGGTTATGGACTGTTAAATACAAAGTTGTAAATACAACTGTTGACATTTGTTATGATAAAACTATTTTGTGTCAAAACTGCAGATTTGTAATTATCGGTGTTTTTTCTCAAGAAATCGCACCAATTGTTGTATAAATAAGGACATTCAGTTTTCCAGTCGTATCAGTGACTGCATACTTCATTGTTGATGTTCATAGGTTAACCATAACTTATGATTGGGAAGTTTAAATGGATCCGTTATCTACTTTTCTGGATCTCGGACTTATCAATACCCTATAATTTTTCTTCTACTTCATTGTTTTTAACAAAGTTTTGTGTATTTTTTTACCCTCTTATTTCCCTTACTGTGTCCTGTCGTGAATTGTAGCAGTTTAAAAAAGTGCACAAATTTATTATCCAGGTAATTTATCATATTTGTTTAGAGTAGTATGGTGATAGTATATAAGTGTTGGTTCTTTCACTTGTACGTGTTTTCCTGACTTTTCTTTAGTTTACCGTTTTCATTGAGAATCATCTTATCTTCCCGGTTTTCATTTATTTTAAGCTCCCACCAGAAGAAAGAGATTACTTTCTTCCGAATCAAAGTCAGTTAGACATGTTATGTCCAAGTCTCATTGAAAGACTGTCTGAGGTCGTAAATTCAATATTATCACATTCAACGAAAAACTCAGGTTTTTTAGCAGATTATTCCAAATCAGAAATATTTTCAAAGCATTCCAAGTGAGTTGTTACTCCTTAGTTTCTGCTTCACAAATCAGTTTACGCTTTAAATTTTCACCACTTTTTCATTGAAATAATTAGGTGGACATTTAAGATCTCTCTAATTTCATTGACCTCTCTGTGTGATGATTACATTATTTACCGGTAAGCCTCAAAATCTCACAACTCCAGCTTTCGGTTTGAATTAAAAATTTAGATAACAGTAGTAGTTCAGGGTTATAAAAATTAATCATTACAAATCACATAATTTAAAAAGTCAAGAACCATCATTCATTTTTTATTTTCATCCTAGAATGTACTACTTTCTAATACAGGTAGTATGAAAATAATAAGCCCAACAAAGTGATTTGACTTATATTCTTTGTAGTCCACTGAAATCAATTACATGCTTCATAGTAGATTTACTTCAGATAATTGATATTATCCCTCAATACCGCATTTAAGATTAACCATATAATATATCTGCGATTCAAACAGAAATCTCACTATTAACATAAACTTTTCTTAGCAATTTTCCTCTTCTAAATAATTGGATAAGTTTCCGTCAGACTGATACTCCCTAACTTTATAATATTTGTAGATTTGAATATATCATATAACTTCTCTCCCATGTTTTCGGTTATAGATCTAATGGACGAGCAATTGAAAGCTGCTCAAATGCTAAAAGTATAGAATGTTTGAACCGTGAGTTAGGTAAGGAAACTAAATGGGAACTTAAAGATAGACATTTTGGAGGTCTAGGCTGGATGCCAAATAGACAAACTTATTCCAAAAATTTACGTGAACCAAAGAGCTTGATAAAAGGAAATGAGAACGAAAAACATGTGATTACTGATGATGTAGATATCCTTGAAGCACTACCGGGTTTGGAAAAAAGTCGATTAATCGGAGACCATTGTATGTATGAATGATTATTTATGTATGCTTAATATTATTCTTTCTTTCATTGTATAACTGATATTAACTGATTAATTTTCAGCTACGTATTATTTATATTAGTAAAAAGACAACCGATGGATTAGAGATTCCAAATTTCTTTTATAGATTGCGTTGGTTATGTCCTATCACCAGTTTTATCGTCTTTGATATAATGATTATCCTCGGAATTTTACCTGGTTTTCAGTTAGTCATAATTAATGTAAAGCCCACCACAAACGTGCATTACCCCAATTTGTCATCCCACAGTACAACGAGGAAAATTTCACAAGATATGTAGCAAGGAGACTAAATAATGTAGTAGAAATGATGAGATATACTAAATAGTGAAGATGGTTCTAAAAGACAGCAAGGTATGTCTGGATGAGTACTAGAACTCAACACCTGAATGAAGATAAAAAGTGGATCCATCTACTTCACTGGGATCAATTCTGAACCATACCACCCAATGTCTTTTACTACGGATCATAGTTATCACTCTGACAACAGCCAGGCAGTCTAGACCTACCAATACTGCTTAGACCAATAATCAATGACTTCATGGACTGATGTCAAGTCTTAGTTTGGCTTCTCCCAGCTGTCCTCCAACCTACTTTTACACCAGCTATTGACGTTCAACGAGACAGGTGAAGTTTGGGATACTGCTACGTTTGGAGAGATTACAATATCGCCTAAAACATGCGAACGGAACGAAAGTCAGCAATACTTCAACAGGACAAGCTATGCTATTCCACTGTACCCTCACCCTGCTAACTAGAGATGGAGGACCAGATTCAGTCGGATGAAATGCATATTACCCGGGCAGTCGGAAGCACGAGCGAACAAACACACAACTCATGCACATATATACAATACAAAAGTATTCTTGGAAAACGTCACAAAACAGCTTACTAAAAGAGAAAACGAACCATTTAAGGTCCTTCCATGTGGGAAATGCTGAAGAGGAAATTAGGAAGACACGTCGGGGGTGGTTAGGACATACCTTGCAGAAACCATTAATTGCATCATGAGGTAAGCCCTAACTTCGAATCCTGAAAGGAAACGGAAAAGAGGAAGGCCGAAGAACACACTACGTTGGGAATTGGAAGCACGCATGAAAAGGATGAATAGCAACTGGAAAGGATTGTCCAGGACAGAGTTGGATGGAGAATGCTGATGGGCGGCCTATGCTCCTCCACGAGGGGTAACACTTGCAAGTAATGTGGGAAATACAGGTAAAGTAGGTGATTTTGACGCGAAAATGAGAAATTCAAATTCCTAAAATAAAATTGTGAAAATGAGACGTTTACCAAATGGTTCCTGGCGACCTAGCTTCCCCAACTGATACGTATTACTTTTCTCAATCACTTCAGTTGATAAAGATTTATTAACTCATCAGCCAATTCAGCATCTTTACCCAGTACTCTTTGTTTAATCTCAACATCTTCCACTAGATTGTCCCAGCACACACAAGCGCTACTTCGAAGACAGCCATCACCAAATACTTTCAGCATACGGACATTTCATGCTTTCCTAGGCTACGTTTCACAGTCAGAGTAGGAGAGATCAAACTGATGTGGAGCATATTCGTTTTTTAGTTGGGAGACGGACACCTCACCTAAATGACAAGTGACTCAAGTTGGAAAATGTTAGCCGGGATTTCGTCAGTTGTCAACTCACTTGAGCTGATCAGACTTCCAAGAAAAGTGGAGTGGTCAGCGCACTCAACTACTTCACTTCTTATAACCAATCTAGACAATGGGGGAAAGAAATACATCCCTAATATACGTGCTTTGTTACTGAAGGTGATCAAAAAAGTTCTAATTTCTTCAACATTTTCACTAAACAGGGCCATATCATCTGTACACGCCATGTTATTAAGTTGGTTTCCAGGATGCATACCAATCCCTAGAAAGTCAAATGAAGAAAGAGCGATTTTTAATGAAGAGATTTGTAATGAAACCAAATAAAAAGTAGGGTAGTAAACAACCTTGACAAGCACTGATAATTGTTATTCATAAGCTCTGGGATTATCATTAATGTTCAGGTAGAGAGTCTTCACAAAGTTAATGTACTTCGCTAGTGTACCTCTCAATGGCAAACATTGCCACAAAGTTTCTTAGTTAACTGAGTCGAATGGGAACTTAGTGTTAAAATTAAGCATAAAGAGGGATAATGGGTAACACTGACGAACTTATTTCCATCATTGTGTTTATTCTGTGATGAAAAGGTAAAGAATACTAGATAACTAAATAGCTAATTAAAATTGTCTGTATTCTACATTCGTTATCTTATTTTTAAACATCTTGAGTCGAGAAAAGGTGAAAATAAAAACGTAAACCAATATAACTAATATTGTTGACAAAATGTGAAGGTGGTTTTCATATTTCAAACGTTCCTAACTTGTACAGAAATGAAAGAAAACATGATTTCAACCTTGTACATAAAGTCTTGTTGCTGCTGAATTGTTCCCCAGGTACTGTTTCAGACCTCCTGTCTTAAATCAGGAAGATCAAGTCATATGGGTATTGTTTAATCACTTATAAATTTGTAGGCTATGATGAAACTATAATTCTCGGGTTTCAGTATTTGACATTTCAATATCGTATTACAATGATAAATTCCTTGTCGACTTACATTTGACCTGTCAAGTAGTATCTCCATTTATTATTCACAAAATATGGTATTGTAGTGAACGAGAACATGAATGAGGACAATCGAATGTATTTGAACACAAAATTACAGAACATCTTAGTAAAATCTGAGAACCATATAGTAAATACTTAATTTGCAAAATATCAATCAATCGTCTCACACTTCATTGTTCTTTCGTTTCCACACTAATCATTCTTTGTTCTCGTTCTGTTTTCTTTGATCTTCTTAACCTTCTGCCGCCAGATAAATTACTTTCTATTGACAATACATACTACTTATATCTATCGATATCAGTAGCACGCCACAGTATATCTGTTTATTCATTTACTAAAGTTTAACTGAAGGTTATACAAAATTTGTTTTACATGTAAGAGAAGGTTTTGTTGTCAGTTTCTTATTAAATGTTACTTATCATAATTCCTAATTATGGTGTTGATATAATTTGCCACATATTACATTTATAAAATTAAGATATGGAAACATTTTACCGATAATTTAAATCATTCAAATACAAATTAAGGAACAAAACGGATCAAACACTCTTTGGTCTATTTATAAAACTATTTGACCTTAACTACTCTTTATGCTAATAAAAACTAAATTTATGAGAGATACTCGGTGTATCTGTTGTTTAAATTAGCAAGAGTGGGATTAAAGTATCTCCATAATCTGTTTTATGAGTTCAAGTGTAACGTTCACACTACAAATAGTGATGCCTTCTCATTTTATTTTTTTCGGAGTGAGATGGATAAAAGGTGAATGTTTATAACAGATAATTAAATTGATTGTAGTAGATATTCAGCCTTTCGCTCTATTTTCCGGTGGTTTTATGAATGATTGAGACTTGTAATAGCATCATGCTTGTAATTCGGAACTAATCTTTCTATGCAACTTTGAGTGAAATGATATTTTCTTCACCGTCTACTCATAATAATATTTTTTTAAACAGATTATTTGACATTAAGTGACTCAGAAGGTGATGATGGCGACAACGTTAGGATGAAATCAAAAGCCCAATGTTCGCTAACAAAAAAACAGAAGGGGATATCTACTCTATACCAAGCAAGTAGGAAGAGAAAAACTAAGAATAATGATGATGATCCAACTTGGAGTATGCCTAGTAGGTTGAATACTTGTTTTTGCTATTTAAAAAATTTTCACTGGGTAATTTATTCGCGTCCGTGTGAACATTTGTCAGTATTTGAGCAAATAGTTTGACAAAAATTGGGCTCCTAGTGTATAGAGGACATTCTATGTAAAAAATGGATTAAAATGATCTCATCGATTGAAATTTAAATAATTCGACTATTCCAATTAAAGAAGTTCAAACCAGAGTACCAGATGGAGCGTTAGAGTGATCTAAATTTCGATTGCTGAGATCATTCAAATATAATTGTTTCATTTAACGCTATTCGCCTTTAGTTTGAAATTGCGCAATATTACTTATCTTCGACTTTCAAAAATCTGTCTTCATTTCCTGATGCGGACGTTCTACCATTGATCACTGGCTGTCATTCAAACAATATAAATGTTACAAATTGAAATTCTTGATACAATTGAGATTTTCACAGATTGAAATCATGAGTCAGTTGAAGCTAGACCACCACTGAAAACCTGGGAGCACTGGACGTCCGTTTCGTCCTAGTATGGGACTCCTCAGCAGTGCGCATCCATGATCCCGCACCACGCGGGGCTCGAACCCAGGACCTACTGGTTTCGCGCGCGAGCACTTCAACTGACTCATGATTTCAATCTGTGAAAATTTCTAAAAAAATCTCCACAAACCCCTTCTGACAATTGAGATTGTTTAGTTCCATTAATTTTAGGGATTAACATAACATTCAAGTAATTTTTACTGCATACTAATTGTGATTATTTATGAGCATTCGTTTTTGATCCTAGATACTTTTTAGTCATACAAACCATAATTTTTCGCAAGAACTTAGTGTATTTTCTTTGCGGAACGAGTTATTTTCATATACAGAAAATATTTCTGTAAGTTCAATTATATTCAAGTAGGTTGGTTGGTATTTTTCCTGAAATCTGCCACAACTCATGCATTCACTAGTTGATTTGGACGTAATTGATATACCATGCAATTGTTTCGCTTTACAAATGTAAACAGCAAATTACGTCATTCTCGCTTTGTTGAAGTACTTAATATAAGATATTTTCCCAGTAGAAATCAAATACAAGGAAACATGTATCAATCCAAAAAATTCGTTCATACTCCATAAGTTCTTATCGTTTCACTCTTATCTGTATATAATAGCTTTAGCAGTTAAGGCGTATTGTTGATGAATTTTAACCGTTATAGTAAAGGAATTTATCAGTCTAGAACTACATCATTAATATGTTAACTTGTATTTATAATTAATTCATACTGGCTACTCTCATCAACATTTACTAATAAGGTTAATAAATTTTAATTAGTATAAGTTTCCATCACTATCATAATTCTTTCCGAAACAAGAAAATCAGAAAAGATTAAAAACTTAATTGTTCACTTAAATAGTATTAGAAGGCTATCTATTCGTAAAAAATAGGGGAGTGATTACTAGTGAATCACTCCTTCTGATCCTAAAGTGTGTCAGTTAACGTACCTGACTATCAGTTTATGCTTGCCTATGTATATTGTTTTAGTTTGGGCATTTCAATGCAGTGTTGACTAGATTTACAGTCCTAATCTTTTCACTGATTTAGCAATCTTCCCAGTCTACTATTTCAGTTGATAGAATTCATCAGGTTTTTTAATTGTCGGATTTTTTAAAATATATCCTAATATACTCAGTTGTCATTTACTTACATCCTCCAATTGAACATTGAAATTACTGTTAGCTTAGTTCCATCAGTTTTTGTAAGTATTATGAAGAACGCTCAAGAGGTTTAAGTGTTCTCAGAAGATGTTATGGTTTATATTATCAAAAAACTGTGAGTTACTGTATCTCAATAGCTAAGTGCATCTACGATCACCAGAATATACGTTGTTGTTTTTCTTCCTGTTACATTTAAAGATTTTCTGTAATGTATTTATGCATATATATAGTATGACATCTGGTTGTGGTACAAGTTAATCGGGCTTTAATATAATCTCATTCGACTTACAGGCTTTAAAGTAAGAATCTTTCCATAAAGCTAACAGTATTTAGTATTCCTTTCACATAGGTGTAGAAATAAATTCTCATCTATCTACCCTTATCATGTAAGTACTTAGTCAGTCTTCAAGCACAATGGGAACGGAAATATAGTTATGAGCACATATTCTATTCATCTTACTCCTATTTTCAATAGTCTTTTAAATTGTAAAAAATGTCTTGTCTATTCTAAAAATAATATGTTTCTAGTTTAACATCAGCAACTGGTCGTACATTTATCTTTTTCTACATTATTTTACTTTACAGGTCCTACGCGTCGCAGGTTTGGTACAACTGAATGGAAGTCAAAGAGTTCAAGACTTGTTGTTTCTAATTTAAAAAGAGATAAGAAGTCATTGGTAAATGCTTCTAGTGTTTAACTAATATAATTTTTGACTATTCAACGCTATTTCCTATCCACAAATGATACTGTTGGGACATATTTAAACTAGTCTAGATCATGTAATAATTAATTTGTTAGTAAATATCCAAGCTCTATTTCCTGTTGTTATCATTGTTTGGTTTTATAAACACTAAGTATGACAAAAGCAATATAAGCTGTAAATTTATTAAACTAGTCAAGGTATTGAGGTTATCTAACACTCGACCCACTTAACTAGTATTTTTAGTTTGATGAACTTGACAACTTGAGGTAACCCATTCAGAGTTCTTTATTCTTTCCAATTCCTTTTCATCCTTTTTTAGAACATGATGAGTCAATGATTACAACTGACCACATTCAGGCGGTTACTCTGTGTTATGTTGTTGAGATGTAGCCTATTCACTGTTGATGTTTTTTCAATATTCTTCACTTGTTTTAGCCTGTTTTTGAGAACTTATCACTAAATCCTCTATTGTCGTGGCTACTATCAAACTGCTTATTCTAATAAGTTTAAACAGTTAAGAATCGTCTATTACAGTTTCTTATGCATTAGAGTGGCTACACAATTCACATGAACAGTCACAAGGAAACCCCTGTTATATTCTCCAGAAACCCGTCAACTCAGTCCCCAACAAATAAAAAACAACGAACGAATTTTTTCAAAACCTCTACAGGCGATAACAGTAAAAAATACGTTGATACTTATAGAGAAATCAGAAGTGTACTTGAGAACTATCCAATAGGAGCACGAGTTGAAAAACACCAGCTTCAATTCAATAGTACACATGCGCCCTAGGATCCTAAAGAAGCAAATTGCTTATGAGCCTGCTTTTTCTTTTCACTACCATGATACTACACATCCCTTCATTGCTCTATCTTTTTATGGGTTAGGCCTTTACGTTAAAAGGTTTAGAGAATGGTCGTATCTCATAATCAGTATCATAGTCTGCATAACATTAGGAATTTAAAAAAATATCTTTTTCAAAAAGTTTTGAACAAGAAAGAACAACTAAGCTATTCTGTAGAATATATTCTTGTATTTTTAATCCGAAGTCTCGTGTGAATTTTTAATGGTATCTGAATTAACATAGTATGTTTGATCAAGAACACTTTATTTCTCAAGTTACTTATCTTCACTGTGGTTAATCGTAGCATGATATGGTTATATACATTAATGTTTATTATTTACTAAGTTAATGGTTGTATGGATTATCGACTAATAAATTATTTCAATAGTTGGGATCATGAGTCAATTGAAGCTAGACCACCATAGTAAACCTGGAAGCACTGGACCGTTTCGTCCTATTGTGGGACTCCTCAGTAGTGTGCACCTGCGATCCCACCTTGCGAGATTCGAACCCAGGCGCGGTCGTGAATACGCACTGCTAAGAAGTCTCACAATAGGACGAAACGGTCGGCCAGTGCTTTCAGGCTTACCTTGATGGTCTAGCTTCAATTAACTCATGATCTCAACTATTGAAATTACCATACTATCCACAAAGACCTATTCTGATATCAATAGATTATTCTTTAAAATGTTTATATTCCTTTGAGTATTTTATAAAATTTTATTTATTAAAACAATGCAGTAGTGCAAACTCTCCGTGTGCATGGAATGCATGACTTTTTGTTATGGAACACTTCACTTTTCATTTATTTTCTACAGCACCCTCTACTCAGTGAAGTGAATCCATCATCATCAGGCTCGAGTGCTTTAAAACCCAGAGGTTAGTATGAACCAATTATAGTCTGTGAATTTTCACTTCTTCCTCTCGGTAGTTATTAGTTCATTTCCTGGTTAAACTAATTTGATTTAACCAGATTCATAATGTTAACAAACATTGTAGTGTACAAATATGTTATTGTTTACTGAATTGTAGCAGGACTAATAACAACCCAGTATGATTTGATTTATTTAGTTTAACTGACAGTAAATCTGTCTATTTTTCTGCTCTTTGAACAAAGATTATTGTCAGCATAGTTATAGATACATAAATAAAACAGTACAATATTTATTACATAGTTTTGAATGGTATTTTTTTAAATCATACGAGTTGTAATCATAGTAACAAATTTTTGCGTTGTTGTCAGTTGGGAACCTTTGTTCTTTGAAATAAAAACGGGACATTTTTCTAAAAGAGAAACTAAGGACGCTTTATACTGACATTTAGCTACCTTTAAAATTCCTAGTGTTACAGATGTCATGGATTTCATTGGATATATATATATATATGCCTCTGTTACTATTATGCTGTAAATTGAAACAATTAATTTGATTGGTTTTTAATTACCACTGAGTCATGAATGTGTCCGTTTAGTCGTTGTTCTTTTTGTGTCTTAATTTTAAGAGATGGCAACAAGAATCTATTGTTTTGTTTATTTACTCCTTTTTTCATATTTATTTGTCCTAATTTTCTTGTTGCTTTCCTTTCCTTCTTCCCTCTTTTATCCCAATAGATTCTTCAACATTGCGTCCGCATATGACAGTAAAAACACAAAAACCACGAACTAAACGCAATACAACAGTTAGACAACGTCTTGCTAAACGTTTAGGTATTTAATTCATTTTAGCAAAGCATGGATGTTATTTATTTACATATTGTCTATTTGTATGCTTATCAATCACAAGTTTACTAATATTATTCATTACTATCAGTGGTAACTCTAATTTTATACTTTTTTCTACCTACATATATAAAGTGAATTATTTGGACCGTATAGATTTGTAAAATTTATTTCCTCTCTACTAACGATATCTATATACATGTATACATATACACACTCAAGTTAGCAATTCTTATCCGAATGTAGTATAATATGGTCGTGATCTAAGGAATTTTTCAAATAACTTCAGTTTTATTATTGTTATTACTAACTGTAGTAGCGGTATTACTATTAACAAGTGCAGCATACTTATCATGCATACAATGACCTTTTTTTAACCATATTTCAAATAGTTCTTCTGAGTTATTTTTTATTCTTATTTGTTCACTAATAATGCCATTCAATTTGTGTCCCATACTTTTATCTCCTTATTTTAGTTATGTTTTAAATTTGAGAAATGTAAACTTTAATTGCATTTATGTATAATCATGCTGATTATGAAATAGTTAAATAACTGACTGTTTCCCTCCAACTTCATCCATTTCTTCGTGTAATTTCATTAATTCCACCTCATCATTATTCACATATCTCATCCTCATATATATATATATATATATATATATATATATATATATATATATATATTAGCATCATTCGGCTACTCAGTAATAGTAAGAATCTGTTTTATTAGGTATATTCTCTTGTTTATCACGTTTGTTTTTTAGTGGTTTTCTTGGTTACTTGTTCACTGATATGCGTGTGTATTTTGTAATACTACGTTATTTATTCACTTTGTTATCGTTTGTTACTATTATTGGGTTTTTTTTACTTTACGTACATGTTTTATAAATATTTGTTTATTTGCATACAAATGGAACTAATAATGTTTTCCCTGTTTTCATTCATTGTTTACCTAGCTCATTCTTTTTGAAATGTTTATTGGTCTTTGTTAAAAAAGTTTTTTTTTATCATTAGGTCTTATGTAAATTGTTTTTAATTGAAATAAATATTGTTATAATAATATATTATATACATGACCGTCTTTCGTGTTTTCGGCGGTCGGTTGGGTAAAGTGATCTACCCATTATTAATGGCTAACACTAGTATTAAAACTTAGAACGTTATTATGGTAATACACATTACGTAATACACCTAGCAAAAAGGCTCGGTAACAAGAGGTTGTTTTGATTAGTATTCATGCAACGGTGTTTGTGCTGATTGGCTATTTTCGTGGGGATGTTAATAATTATATACCAGACTTAAATCCCAGAGAGAACACCTAGTTTGTTATGTTATGCAGTGTTGTTTCTTAAGTACTCATTAGTAGGGTTCTCCAGTTTGACATCCTTTGGATGAAGATATTTGTGTCCGTATTTCACCACTCTCAGTGACATCCAGGCTATCTGCTGGTGAAGAAGCCGTATTTTAAAATTTCAACGTGAATCAGGCTCCCTCAGTAGACTTCAAGGGGATATAAACAATTTATAACTAGGTACAAATCTACGAATTCAAGTTGTCTCTTTTCAGATCTACCGATCAGGAGAAAAAGGTCAAATTGGAAAAATAATATTAACTGTATTGGCATTTATATCAATAGGATTCAAGATTGTAAGGTATTAAAGACTTAGAGAAAGATACGGAGTGATTTGGTACCCATCACTGTGACTTGTTTGCAAACATATCAACTTAAGTCCCTAGTTATTGATTATATTAACATATCTCAACTCAATAATGATTCCTATGAAAACCAATTTGAAGTCTAACCAGTATAATATATTAATAAATTATCTAAGAGTTTCAGTTTATCCGTTATGGCAGAGGAATATGTGTGTTTGGTTGTCTGAATTAATATGAGGTAGTCGAACGATGCTAAATCACGGAAACAAAATTAAGTTCTATATAGTCACCCAAATTGATGAATATCAGTAGGGAGGTTAGTTGGTTAAAAAAGTTTTACCAGTCTATAAATCATCTCATTCCTAGAATAGAGTACAAAATAAATGAGAATTGAAATAATGCGTTTGATATGGAGAGCCAGTCAGAAGTAACTCAGTGTGAAGGTCAGTCGGTGGCAATCAGAAGTGACCCAAAGGACAAGTGTGTTTCATTGGCTAGGAAATGGGTAAATTTCCTCACTCAAATAGTCAGCTGGGGAGAGGGTTTAATGCGTAGCACACCATGTATCAGTATCAGATATTGGACACCGCCTATCACAACAGCATTGCCTATCGGGACACCAGCTTATTTGAAATTCACTGAACATTCAACGGATATAAGACTGAGAATTCTTGACGAAGGTGTTAATCGATTTCAGGATCCAAACACTGGTCACCAATGTGATTCAGTTGTCGCACGACGTTGCAGATTAATAGCAGTTGGTATAGTGCCACTGGAGACCGACCTAGTGTTTGTTCATCGTGAGAACTAAATTTTTGGGGTTCGATCCTTGGTGGGATTACGTAATACTCACTGCTGGAAAGTCTCGCACAAGGGCGAATAGGTTGTCCAGTGATACGTGGATTTTAATAGTACTTCAAATGAGACTAATTTGCGGTAAACAGAACCTATAAGTTAAACCACTCTGTAACCCCTTTAACTAGCCTTTGAATGTGCTAGTTACTTGTTTCTTATGACATTGATGAACGAGAAAACTCAAACGTTCTTGATTTCTCTCCTGATTTCCAGGGTACTAAAAGAGAGATATGTTTATTCGATGTAACCTACAAATTAGGTATTTGTTCATTTACAAATGGCTCAGTAGTACATCATTAGCAGTGATCAGTCGATAAATTTTCATGTATGGACTTACGTAATGGTACCCCTTTAGTCTCATTCCAGCGGTTAGTGATTATTTGACAGTTCTAAATTTTGCTGGCCATTCTGTTTTATTCTCCTCGAACTAAGGTTGGCATTAGAGATGAACCACTGATATAATGACATTTGTTTATCTGGTTTAATGCAAATTTAATGTATATTTCAGTGTCTTATATACTTCTGTTATAGCCTATCAATATATCACGTGACTAAATGGCCAATTAGAAACACCGGCTTATATGACCAGGCCGATGACGCATAAACTGGTACGAGCAGCTTAGAATCAACTCTGACATAGTAGCTTCTCGCCTAACCCAGTCGGTCCAGTCCAGAACACCAATATCACCCTTTGCTATATGAATCATGTATTTCAGACACACTTGGTTTATGTTTACATACAAACAAACCAGACTGCATCATACCGTAAAATAGAAAATAATAATTATACAAGATCAGGCCAAAAGTGGCTGAGTGTGAGATATTGTAATTAGTAAATTGGGAATAACGTAAGATTAGTAAATCGTGTATTGGTGTGGTGTGTGTTACTGATATCGATAGATATAAGTAGTATGTATTGTCAATAGAAAGTAATTTATCTGGCGGCAGAAGGTTAAGAAGATCAAAGAAAACAGAACGAGAACAAAGAATGATTAGTGTGGAAACGAAAGAACAATGAAGTGTGAGACGATTGTTTGATATTTTGCAAATTAAGTATTTACTATATGGTTCTCAGATTTTACTAAGATGTTCTGTAATTTTGTGTTCAAATACATTCGATTGTCCTCATTCGTGTTCTCGTTCACTACAATAGGTCAAATGGAAGCTTATAGTAAAAGGAATATTAGTATACATATAATATAGTTACCTAATAGTTATCCAATAAGAATATATGTAATAATAGTCCGTAAATAATTTCTGGCAGTTACCATTCATTTATACTCCGTTAGGATTTAAGAATTTCGCTCATATCTAAAAGCTGGACTTCCTCTTTTCGTTAAGAATCTCTAGAAATCAACAAAAATTTAAAATTCTGTTGCATTTTAAGTAAAGATTCCGAGGGATCGAGTAGACTTACTTTATTGCATTACCAACTATACTAATTGTAGAAATCTTACATTGTGTCGAATATAGCGACCACTCTTGATAAGGTACACTACTATTTTATGTACCTAATTTTACTTGAAAATGAAGTCAAACAGAACATACCATTAACAAAACAGTTACCTTATTACTGTGAAACTGACCAGTAATTTACTGTAATTAGTTAGTGTTCATCATTAACGGTAAATCATTCATGTCCCCAGCAAGTATAAAAGCCGATTGATTGTGGAAAACTACTTTATTAGGGGATGTAGCTTTAATAAAATAGTCTGCTTTCTTACTGGTTAACAGTAAAATAGGGGGTTTCACCTTTTTTGCCAAAATAATTTCGTGCTGTCTAGGACTCTTACCACTTACATTATTTATATGATTCATAACATACCATACTAACTTGTACACATTTATAATGAGATATTTTTTCTTAACGTGTTTTTTATAGAAAATCTGTGAATAAGTAATATCAGGATCAGACAAGAAGTCGATAAAAGAAACAGCAAATTGTACTTAATTATTTTATTAAACATATTGACAATATATATTACCTAGTACTCGTAAGTGTATAGATACATTAATTTGTTTTTGAAATGATGATAATATAATTACGAATAAGATCTTGAACTCACCTTTCGTTTTCATCTAAGAACTATCAGTTTAGTTTTTCTAACTCCGCCTGTAGCTCTTCTAGAGTTACTGCCGGTCCCAAGCCCGGGTAAAGGAGGAGGGTTGGGCATGGGGTTAGCGTCCCCATCCCGTAGAAAACTAACTCGCTAAATAAACGCTTACCAGAAAAAATAATTCAAACCATTTTAACTCAGCCCTGAGAGTTAGAAGGTCTTCATTTAGAAGAATTATGACGCTTCATGGTGAAAGCCGAGTTCCTTCGGAAGCCACGAGGCCGATGCCCCTTCTAACAACCAGAGCAAAAATTTTTATAGGTACATGGAACGTTCGAACAATGTGGGAAACCGGGAAGACCAGTCAAATAGCAACGGAAATGAGGAGATACAACTTGGCAGTACTGGAAATCAGCGAAACCCATTGGACCCGAGCTGGACAACAAAAGCTAAATACGGGAGAGATGCTGCTATACTCCGGTCACGAAGAGGAAAACGCTCCACACACTCAGGGATTTGCTCTAATGCTGTCCAAAGTAGCACGAAATGCACTTGTAGGATGGGAATCCCACGGATCCAGAATCATCAAAGCATCATTCAAAAGAAATAAGAAGAGAATTATAGTGAATGTTATCCAATGTTATGCACCCACCAATGATAGCAACGACCACATTAAAGATCAATGATACGAGCGGCTGCAGTCAATCATAGAGAAATGCTCAAGAAAGGACCTCACCATTCTGATGGGAGATCTAAATGCCAAGGTCGGAATAGACAACACTGGATATGAAGATATTATGGGACGACATGGACTGGGAGAGAGGAACGAAAATGGAGAAAGATTTGCAAATTTGTGTGCATTCAACAAATTAGTCATAGGAGGCACAATATTTCCACACAAACGTATACACAATGCTACATGGATCTCACCGGACCACACTACAGAGAACCAGATAGACCATATTTGCATCAACAAAAAATTCCGAAGGACAATGGAAGATGTGAGAACCAGGAGACGAGCTGACGTAGCTTCAGATCACCACCTAGTTGTAGCCAATTTAAAACT